AAAGCTCTCATTTGTACTCATGAAGATTCATTCGTTGCTGTAAATAATGCATATGGTATACTAAAAGAGGACCAACTCTAGCTTTTACAATCTCAATTAAACAACTTTGTCTGATAAAAGAAGCGGTCTCATTCCTAGCTGGGTCATAAGCCCTAAGGGTCTTGTTTGCATGCCTGTATTTATCTTTGCCAAGCTGTCCTGCAAGGATCTGAAAGCCAAATGAACCAAGCTGACTACATTTTTTCTCTCTATGTGCCTACTCGCAAAGGCTGATGCTAGCACAGGCACAATTGTACTGAAGCAAAAGCCCATCCCTGAACTTAATCTAAGCAGCAATTGGATGATCTGTCCTTTTCTCAGTCCCACCTTCTAACCTTTCTAATCCAGAGAGCTCATCTCTCTTACACGTGGCTCTTACAAATGCCTGTGATTAATAATGACTGTGATTCATTAGCCTGTGCTGTTTGCGTTGTTTCCCCGGTGGGAGCATTTACTGTCTAGGGATAGCCCATGATTACTCTGCCTTGTGGAACAGTAAGATGCTTTCAATCTAATGCGCTGTCCATGTTTTAGCATAAAATAATATTAAGGCATCCACATAATGGAACTGTCTGAAGATTCATTTTATTAAGCAGTGAAAGAGAATGTGTGTGTGCGTTTGTATGTGCAAGGAAAACATCATCAGCAAATCTTTTTCATCAGAAATGTAATTTCAGTAGATGTTTCACTTAAAGACACAGCTATATGGAGGTGAAGTTCTTTGCATCTGAGGCTGAAAAACACTTTACAGCCAACATCTTATTTGCACAATTAGCTTACTCGAATCACACACGGCCTATTCAAAATAGGGGGAAAAAAAAAGGAAACGGAGGTCGAATTATTGTATGTATTCCATTTTGCACATTTTTATTTTAAATGCAATCTACTTTCAAGTACAAAGCTGCAGTGCTCTTTAAAGATTACTATTTCAAGTTGCTTCACATACCTTAACAGAGCATGTAACCTTTTTGCATTATATGATCAACTTTTTGACAGTGCAGGGCCAGCACAGCTAATGGAATAATAGCCTGCAGGGTCCAGCTAAATGATATACGAATATAATCAACCTTTGTGATGACTATTCAAAAGTAATCCCTTTAGCTTTCAACTGCAACATATAATTCAACCAGGCGAGGCCATATGAAGAAAATCTCTGCAGACTCCACTGATACAATATGGCCTTCATATCCCCACAGTGTGTTTGCTGCTCACAGTGAGTTTTAAATTTAAGGTAATGGCTACTGTATATTCATGTGAGCATAGAACAATACCTTTGATTTGTTGGAGAAATGTAGCATTAGCTACCAAGGGCCCTATTCAGTAAACTTTGACACAACCCTTATATATGGTTTACTGCTCATGCTAAATGGAATATGCCTGATAAATATGCTTTGCATGCCCAAATTGTACAAATTCATTAATCTTTATATTCATAAAACCTCCGAGAACAACTGCCTTCCTTTCAAGTTAACCTAGTCAGCATGAGTGGCTAAACATGTGGGCCCAGACAGCTCTTAAAACAACCATTGCATCACTCTCGGCTTATCGAGACAGAAAAAATAGGAAAACCTTCCACAAGGCTGGGACATGCCTGTGTTGTTGGCTGTCATATTATTTGCTCCTGCAGCTTTATTCCTACCTCATTACATCATACTACAGATTATGTAACTGAAAACAGCTGCATGACCTTTAAAAATGCAAGTAATTTTTTAATGACAATAATGGATCGTTGCTCATCACTTGCATTGCGCTGGCATGATAATGTACCATACCCATCAAATCACAACTAAGGTATAAAGGGTATGGTGAAATTTTCTTTCTCTCTCTCCCTTCTGGGACAAAAATACAGGGTTAGGTAATCGTGACCCTGAATACGTGACATCCACTGTATCAAAGCAAAAGAGATGTAACAAAAACACTGTATTGCTTCAAATGACTTCTCTTGCTTATACAAAATAGTAAAAGTTCTCTCACATCAACAGCATCTGCAAATGTTTTGTTGCATGCATACCTACCTAAATATATATGTAAAAAACACATTGCTGAGTTTTGAGGCATTGCATTTTAATATTTTATGTTACTTGAGCTACAGGGGATAAGCAGGGCAGGACATAGACTTCCTCCTGTTTGTATGCAACGTCACTTGTGCTCACAGCCATTAGGAACCCTTGGCACACTGCAGCAAGGAGTTCCATCAATGTGTCGACCATGCTCAAGGAACTCTTACTCTGTCTCCAAGCCCACCAGCTGCTGTTTTTGTCCTATCTTACTTCATTCTTTTTTTGGAAGAGGTGATGAAAAATGGTTTCCGCATCACCTTCTGCATGTTACTCTCATTCTTGCTTTTCTTGTCGTCTCCTCACAATGTTGCTTTTCTCTTTTTTCAAAGAATTTTCAGCTCACATCATCAGTTTGTGGAGCTTTTCAGAGGAGTTCTGGTTTTGAGTATTTTCTCATCTCATGAGCAATGCAGGTGTTGTCCATTTTCCTTATAAGCTTTTGAGATTACGTTGCCTATAACGTCCTGTCCTCTAAGTCATTGATCATTGTAGCTTAAGCCTTTGTAGCTGTGGCTTTTATTATTGTCTGTGACTTCTCACTAATTATATTCTGAAAAGGACTTACGGTTCTGCTTAGCTGTTCTCCTAGGAACGTAATGAAATAACAAGGGTTTCAGAAGTATAGCAGTCTCTACATGGACACATGTAAACAGCAAAAACAACAGAGATGCCAATTCTGGCTGCACTAAAGATTTGGCCAGATAATTTTAATTCTGTTTTATCAACAGCACTGATAGTGTATCAAGAACATCCCATTATGATTAATTATATCTACGTACTATTAATACATATTAATGTTTATCTCTGCATTTTTCCCAGCACAAAGAGATAGAAGGAGAATGCTTGATGGTGTGACGTGGTGGTATACATGTATTACCATTATGAATATGGGATGTTTTTATTGTCCCCAAATAGCAGAAAACTGCAAAGAAAAAATTTATGTCTCAGTATTCCGTCAGTTATCCTTGATATGCTTCGTATTTGCTGAGAGGGTAGAACTGTTAATCAGGCAATAACAGTTTGGGGTCCAAGCGCAAAGGCAAAAGGCCAAAGGGTGAGTGAAAACAGCAATTTATGCTATAATTCCCCGTCTATCACGTGCACCTCTCCACTGTTTGTATGTGTCCATTTATGGAAGGTGCATCACTGTTAGAGACGCACTTTCATGTGTATTTCATTATGAATACGTCTATCCTGTACACATGTAATCACATTTTTGGTTTAAGTAACCCATCACTCTTGCACCAGTCTTTCATGGTTGAGATACAGAGATCCTTGAATTCAGTTAGAGTTGTTTGGTTGATGAATTTGACGCAGTTGGATTGGATTTTGGTGTTTTGTTGGATTTTGTTTTCCACATATTACGCTGGCGAAAGTATTTCCACTGATGTACTTCAGGAGTGGTTTCAGAAAATGTTACCTAAATAACTACGTGGTTAAATACTGAGTGAACCTCTAAGGTATTGCCCTGGTACAAAATGAGATTTCGTTTGATAACTTTCGCTAATTCTCAGATGTTCTTCATACATGTATTTATCCCATTCTTATTTGCATACAAGTATGGGTGAAGTTCGAGTTAAAAATTATGCATAATAAAAGCCCATGATATGATGAAATAGAAACTTTGTTGAGTTTTGAGGCATAGTTTACATCTGTTCCAATCTTTGCATTGAACGTTGCTTTTTATCTCCACTGCGACAGTGTAAGTATTTTGGAAATGAATTAATTTGGGCTGCTATGTAGGAACCAGTGGCTGTTAAGGCAGAGTCCAGTTTTAGACACCACACTGCAGAAAGGTAGTGACAAATACAAAGGATCCAGCTAAGGATAGTACAGAGGTTAGAAGGCAAATATTCAGGAGACTGCATTTGCTTATCCCTTAAAAAGAAAATAAATATATTGTTATTATTATTAGAGGAAGGAAAATAGTCCTTAAATCAATAATAAGGTGTTGTGAAAGAGAACAGCGTTTCTTTTTCCTTCACGTCTATCAAAAGTAGAACAAGAAGAGAGATCAGCTTTATTTGCAATAAATATTTCTCATCAGTATTAGGGAAGAAACTGAGCTATAACACTGTGAAGCACTGAAACAGAGAGATTCAAAACGTTGTGAAAGGGCCTTCATCCGTAGGCTTTCTTGCACAAATTCGATGAATACGTGTCAGTTATGGACTAGATATACGTGCACTGTCTTTGTTTCAGGATGTGAACCCATCAGTAGTTCCCCAAACAGGAACCAGTCCCCCTGGGACGGCGTGGCTGTAACTAAGCAGAGGGAGGCATGTTGCTGGGAGTCTCTGGGAACAAGGCAGAAAGCTCAGCCCAGAGGTGGAGTTTGGTGCAGAAATGGAGCAAGGGCTGAGGATCACAGGCCGTGGGATCAAGGGAAGCATCTGGCTGGCAGTAATAGTGGAGTCAAGCAATTGCCTTGCAGCCAGCTGCTGTTTTCACCACGTCCCATTAGGAGTACACTGCTTAGATATGGCAGCCTTTCTTATCCAAACTCCTCTCCCTGTTCTGCCTTCTGCACTGTTCACTTTTGCCCTAGACAGTCCTCTGGCTGCCATGCCTCCTTTCAGTGCTGTCCTTGATGTCACCCCCCAGATACATCTTGGTTGTTGGCTCTCCAGGTGTTCCCACCTGGACGTGTTCCACAAAACCAGCCCTTCTCTGAAAGCCAATTCTCTGGAGTGCTGGAAGAAAAGAAGTTCCCATCAGTTATGCGATTCAAAGTCTGTATTTTACGTGGCTCTCCTCACTTGCTGTCTAGGATTACCCTCTCCTGTGACTTTGTACTCAGTTACATATTTTTGAAATAAACTTTCTAAGCAACTACTGTTAATAGGAATGTTGTGAGCCTGAAACACTAACATACTTTCGTTTCTTTGTTTTTAGTAACAGAGCTCGATACAGAAACAAGCCCATGTGAGCCTCCTCCAGAAACTAGCCCCGGTGAATCTCTTCCAGAGACCCAAATTCCAGATCATTCCTGGTACAGTATTTGCTCTTAATCCATGTTCTTTATGACAATATTGTGATTTTTAACAAAATGTCATTGGTACCAACATTTAACTGGATTTTGGCAGTAACTGCACATTAACTGTTGTACTGTGACTAAGTAACAATATTTTTCCTGCTTGTAAGTAAACAAATTCGTGTTTCCTTCACTTTGTTTTTCTTATTTTTTACTGTTTTCCCCGGTTTTGGAATTCAATTGCTTTTGACCATGTAGTTGCTTTTAATTTGCAGAAATAAATCTTTGAGACAGAAGAAAATCTGTTAACTAGATGCTGAGGTCAGATATAAAATAGGTAGGTATCAAGAAGCATGCATAAACTTACAACACTTTCTCTTTGTTATTTCTTGTTTTTCATTGTAGAAAACACCTGCTTACTTACAGCGAAGCTGATAGATGAACGTCGTGAGTTCAGGAAGATCTCTGGAAACTCGGGCAACAAAGTAAGAACATTGGTGGAAGTTTTGTTGTTTAAGTAAAAGCACGTTGTATAAATACATGTTAGCTCTAAGTCCCTAAACGACCGATGTCATATGTGTGGCTCCGTGTCTATATAAAAAATAGCTACTGTCACTGAAATAAATGCGTAAGGAAAGAGTAACGTAGAGCAGTGTGCTTATTGTTTGTGTCACTTACTGTCTTTCAGAGTGTTAAGAGACCAGGCATCCTATATGCCTGAGAACCCAAGGTTCTCAGTATGCCGGAAGATCACTTTCTAGATGTCTGGATATCTTCTTTTAATCACAAATTATTGCCCCATTCCGATGAAATAGACTCGAACCTTGATGCCTTATCAGTGGAGCTTCCCATAATTTTTAGTATCTGTGCTTAACGACTGTGGCTCAACCATGACCTGAGTAGAATAGGCAACAGGTTCCACTAGTGACCCACAGAAGTCTGACTCCCATGGTCTTCACAGGTGTCAGAGGTATTTCTCAGCTGCTGTCACTGTTAACCACAAGAGCAGTGAAGGGACAGAAGGTGGTGGCTATTGCCTTGCAAAGTTCATGGCAAAGCAGACTTAGGAACTTGCAGATTTTATTTAGGAAAACTGGTTCAAGCTTTTGTAATTTCACATATTAGAAAACCTGTTCTTTGAAACTTCATAAATATGAATAATTGACCTCTCCTATCTGTAAGCAGAGGTTTCCAGAGCCAGAGTTTGAAGCAAGCACTATTGGATTTTAGTCATTTTCTGTGATGGTCTTTAAGTAAGCAATAGCTTTTGTCATAGTAATAACTCAATTCATTGGTTTTCTTCAGCGTTGCAATCTGAGTAACTGGTTGACATGTGACAAAAGGGTTTTGCCTCTAAAGGAGTGGGGAAAAATATACCATTATTTAGCTCACATTTGACCATTTTTGATCGATGAAAGCATAAATACCTAATTATAATTTTATTCTTTTACTTAGAGGTCTTCATTGCCTAAATACCAGGCTTATTACCAGTTTTCATTTAGAATGTTTTCAGAAGACTGAGAATTTGTATAGGAATTTTCCTACATACCTACGCACATGTATAAACATACAAATATGCTTAGTCAGTGTTTAAAAAACTGAAACAGTTGAGGCAAGGAAGGAAAACAGGACCATGAAATAAACATAAACAGTAGCAGTATACAGTTTAGTCATTATATTTTAATCCTATTGATACAAAAAAAAAAAAAAAAGAACCCACACAGAGACTGGAAATAACATCTGAGAGTCACATCAATCTGTAAACTTTTCTAGTCGTAAAAGGGCTGCTTTAAGAGGCTACTAATTTTAGAAATTAGAAATTTCTTTTATGATGAAGTTGCTAGAAAAAAATGAGGTATGTGAATTTATCATTGATAGTGGAAAAAAATATACATATAAATTCTCTTAAGAAAAGTTGACATTCTAGAAAAGCTGCTTATCAGTTTTTGAAGGACAAGTTTCTAAATTCTTATGTTTCAGACCTCATGTACATTTTTACAACTGAACGTTGTTTCTACATGTCCCAGACACTTGTTATGCAGCTCTGTTAAACAGCATCTAATCGTCACTGAACTTCTCTAATCTCAACTCACTGCTCAGTGATAACTTGTATACACTTGTGAGGAAATGGTCACAGAATTCATCCTCTAAATTCTAAAGCATTAGCTCTCCCATACTTCATAAGAAGTCCTGTTAGTCATAAAGCTTTTAATTAAAGTAAGGGGACATCTACCATCCTGTAGTGATGCAACGGCAAGCTTGTTCTCCTGAGCCAGGATGCTCCAGCAGAAATGTTTATTGAGCTGTATAACCCTGCTTAGGAACCCTTCCCAGGAACTTTGTCTGACAAGTAGCTGTCTGGGCAGCACGTGGCCGTTCTGCTCCTTGCAGACTGAATCGAAACGAAGACTTGCCAAACGTATTGTAGCAGATCAGTCTCTGAACTGTTCTGAAGCGGTAATGCTGATGCATTTAAAATCCGTGTAATGAGGTATGGTTTCTGAGACCTGGAAATGAAGGCTGCTTTTGGATTTAGATTTTGGTAGGTTTCACTGCGCGTGTATCTGATGGCATTGGCTAGTGATTCCTAGCAGAGGGAAAGGTTGTCCTCAGGAAGGATTGTGTTAATAATTATGAAAAGCGTGTTTTCTAACCATTAATAAGGTATGTCTTGAAGTATTCTTTTTCTAAAACAGTGTCTTGTTTGATAGTGTATCTCTATAATACCTCTATGTTTTTCACACTTATGCGTGAATAGAATTTATGTGCTGCTTCTTGAAGGCAAATAAAACATGTTAATGAATATTTCCATGTCTGAGTCCTCTTTTGACACAGATGTGTCAGACAGCCTTGAGACTAGAGCAGTTTCCAGGCACGGCTGATCCGGGTGAGACCTAAGCACAGCAAGTCCCTACCTGAAGACTCTGGTAGGTGGTGTGAGTGTGCAGCCCTGGAAGAATCGCTCCATTCTTTGTAGTCAGACAGAGGGGAAAAAGTGCGAAGTTCTAGCAGCCATCCAGTCTCCATGACAGCTCTGTAGCTGGGCCATCTGCAGTACGGGGAGACAGAAAGACGGCAAAAAACAGATCTTCCGCAGCATGTGGAAGACCCAGAATCTGGCCTGGGGACTTGCCGCTCTTCGGAGGAGAGCAACAACAGCTCCTGGCTCCCGCTCAGCTTTGAACTGAGAGGTAGGCCTTGTCCCTGGGAGGTAGCTTCTTGAAATACTAGCCTTCATGACTGAAGAATCTCATCTGGAGAGGTACAGCACCTCTGAAAGGCTGCTACCCCCAGCACTGACCTATTCTGTCGCAAGAGCATTGCAGGCCCGTCTTCCTGAGGGACTTGAGGACGCATTGCTCCATCTGGCCGCAGGATCTCTGTTGGCAATTGGATTACTTGAATTTAGACTTAGCTATGTTTCTAAAAACATCCTGCAGGAGCTCTCCCCAAAGCACAGTGTCTGCTGTTATTTTCTCCCGTTCTCTTTCCTAAGAGCTCTCTGCCTCCCTGCTCCTCGGCACGGCCGAATCAGTAAATCAGCTGCTCTCTTTCCACACGACATCACTGTGTGCTCTCTGGGCAGGTCAGCTGGTGCCGTGCTTACAGTGCAGATGAAAAGTGTTTGTGATAAGGGAAGTTCAGGATCACCTGACTTCTGACTCCTGCTCTATCACAACAGCCCCTTCAACTTTAACGTTCTGAACTGCGGAGAGCTTTTACATCCACCAAGCCACCATGCTCTCAGTGGAGCTCTGTATTAGATATTTGATGAATGAGAGCTTTTGCATTTCCATCGCCCCTTCCAGCCTCTGTTGTGGCAGAGCACTGTCACCAGAGCATTTGCATCTTGCAGTGCGTTTGGCAGAAACGGTTGGACAACTGCCTGAGATGGGGACAGTCGTGCAGAAAGATGCCAGGATTTATGGCACCTTGAATCCTTCCTGTCTTTCTGAAATGCAGCACTAACAGCAGCATCCAGCTGCTGCTGCTGTAGGTGCTGCTGGTTGTAGCCACTCACCTGATTCAGTTCGTAGGTTTTTTCCTCTTTCTTCCTGCGCTTAGAATCACAGGACTGTGGAACCTGCCTAGAGAATTGCTTTCCGAATCCATCTCTGCCAAAGGAGATAAAAACTAAGCTGAGAGTGTGTCTGAAATAAAAGAATAGAAAGCTAAACAAACATATTTGCAAAAAGCATGCTTTCTTTAGTCACCGCCTGCGTTCTTCCCAAGTCCTTCATCCTGCTGTAGGGAGCTGCTGTGTTTCCATCAGTGAGACGATGCATTTCCCCCGAAAGCTGCTGGGTTTAATCTCACCATCAGATGATGTGATTCATTTCTGCAGTCCCTGTTGCACATTTCTTAATATCAGACAGGAGTGAAATATCTTCAGGACTGGGAGTGGGAGCTGAGTTGACTCTTTGTTTTCAAAGGAAAAAGATGCTGGAAATATGTCGTGGTCTTCATCAGCTGGGGGAGCAGTGAAAGCAAGGGCAGGCTCCTGAGCTGCATGCAATGAGCCTGTCGGGACTGAAGTGGGCTTCCACCCCCAAGTGGCAGCCGTGGCAGGGTGGAAGAGGCCTGGACTCACTGCATGCCGTGTTCCCCGTCACAAATTCAGCCTCCCTGTCACAGACTAGATGTTTGTATTCAGGGATTCTGAATTTCTCCCTCTCAGTTATATTCGACACCTACAGCATGCAAGTATTCATAAGCGTTCTGTGAGCCAAGTAAGTTTGTTTTTAGTTTAAAGTGGTTCTGCCATCTCTGGCTGTCCTTTTGCATCCCTGCATAGCGATCACCTATTTCTGGACCAAGTCCCTCCCACACTTTTTTTCTGTTTTGTCATGGCTGGTCAGGAGCCCAATCCTCTCTTCACACTTACTCACATCTGCTACTGCTGCATTTAAAAAAAGACATTTGGGCTGTTGTGTTGCTAGGAAAGGTGAAACTGTTCCATACTGCTGAGAAGGGACACAACTCGCTGGCTGCATGCATATGAGAGGTGGACCTGCTCTGTTTAGCTGTGCTGATTTTCCTAGCTGTTTGCCCACTGGCTTTCAGTTGTAGAAAGCCTTTGGGGATGAATTTGCTCTGCATTACGTGGGATTTTGGTCTACCTGCATATCTTTGTATCCTTCCTTCGCTGTAATCTCGCATGGTGCTGAATGAAGACTTGGTAGAGCTGAGAAGATCATCTGTGCTGAGCTACTTGTAATTAAGCTTTGCTGCAGGCAACTGATTAGTTCAAGTTACATTATGCCCTCAGACAAATGAAGGCACGGAGCCCAGGATGCCATCGATCCCTGTATAGCAGGGTGCAGCTGAACGCCTGCAGGTTCTGCCCTTCAGAAACCAGGACCTTCACCGCCAGGTCTGCTTAAGGGGCACGCTCACAGAGCTGAATATCAGCCATAAACCAGTGATGCTCTCATCCAAGATCATGCACAACTGCCTCCCCATTAACTGGAGGGCACCCTGATGTCTCTTTAATAGGGGTTAGCGTTATTTATAGCAATTTACAGGTGCGCTGCTGAAAGACCAAACCGTAAATGCTGTTCTGTGATGAAGTGCTTCTACATTATTGAGCAAATTGTCCCAACATGACTGAATGATGCACAGCGGAAAAACTCGCCACACAGATGCGATATGGAAAAGGCCACAATCCCATGTATTTAGTTTAGATGGGTAATTGCAGCTGATGTGGTCTTTGAGTGATGTGAGGAAAGACGGAGCAGCACCTTCTTCGTGGAAGCTGGAGTTGGCAACACACCACTCAAATCGTTGTATTGCTCCTTCTTCTTGTCCTTGCAGGTGGGTTTCCTCCTTCAGTGCAGCACACCGTTATGTGCTAAAGGGCTTCCTTCTTTCTTTACCCAACCTGGGACACTACAAGAAAGATATTGAGGCCCTGGAGCTTACCCGGAGGAGGGCAATGAAGTTGTGAAGCATCTTAAGCACAAGCCTTATGAGAAGTGACTGAGAGAGCTGGGATTATTCAGTCTGGAGAAAAGGAGGCTGAGGGGAGGCCTTATCACTCTACAACTGCCTGAAAAAAGGTTGTGGTGAAGTGGGGGTCGGCCTCTTCTCCCAGGGTACGGCAATAGGATGAGAGGCAACGTTTTCGTGCTGCACGAGGGGAGGATCCAGCTGGATATTAGGAAACATTTACTGACAGAAAAAGTGGTAAAGCATTGGAACAGGCTGCCCAGGGAGGTGGTGGAGTCACTGTCCCTGGAGAGACTTAAGAAACATGTGGATGTGGTACTGAGGGACATGGTCATGGCATGATGGGGATGGGTTGGTGGTTGGACTAGGGGGTCATAGTGGTCTTTTCCAACCTTGATGATTTTTTTTAGATTCTTTGGCAGTTTAAGGACCCGCCAGCACAAAGCACAGAGTCAGTGCCTTTTCCTCTGGTCAGGCTACTTCCCAGCGAGGCCCAGCAGCTGACACCAGCAGCTCGGTCTTGTGGGCAAAGGCAGAGCCCACAGGCAAAGGGGGGCTATATGGAAGGTGAGGAAGGAAGAAGGGAGGCCGGGGACAGGATGGAGCGGTCAGTGTTAGTGCTTCTTGCTCGGGGCCTTGTGATGGGCCCGGGAGACACACTGGGGGCTGTGGCCATGCATCTCTGTGCCTCCCCAGCACGCATTTGAAACCCAGCTCCATGAAACCAATGGAGCAGAGCGGGAAAGGGCTTAAACAGGAGGACATC